TCCCCCCCCTGCCGCTGTCACACGCCCCCCCCCGCCAATCAACAGGGCGATGTATGACCCCGCATGGTCGTTCGGAGAGGACCTCAGGGAGAGCTTGGTTCCGGGGACAGCGGCTCAAATGAGTCCAGTCCGTAGTTCCCCTCCTGCAGAGCGCCCGAGCCCTGCTCAGGGTGCCTGTGGGTCGGGTCCGCAGGGTTCCATGGTTCCTTTGCTTTCTCCTTGTGGGGAAACCCTGGTGCGGCGCCTGGCTGGCACCGCTACCTGCCTTCGCTGCGCCAAGCAGCTTCGAGAAGGGGGGATCCTTTGCACCCGCCCCTCCGCCCATTCACGCTGTTTCCGTTGCGTGAAAAACAACGACACCTGCCTTCCTGTACGTACTGCTCCTTCTGTAACGGCGCCGTGCCGGTTCTGACAAGGCGTATAGGTGCCAAAGCAGTACAGGGCCAAAGTTGTGGATCTCCAGGCGTTGGCGGATTCCGTCCGTTCTGGGGAGGTTCCCAAGGCCCGTCTGGAGAAGGAGGCGAAAGCGTGGGTCTCCGAGGTGGAAAAACACTTCAGAATGGCCGGCCCTAAGAAGAAGGGGTCGGCCGGCGCCGCCGTTGGAAGCGCCACGGAGACAAATCGTTTGTTGGAGAGGATCTCGCTCCAATTGGAGCAGGTGACTGAGGTGCTTTGCAAATTGGTAAGTTGACACTTTGTTGTACTTTCCTACACCCCCCTGCGGCGCCGCAGCGCTAACTCCACGGCAGGCAAAGGTGCCGGTGCCAGGGACTCCGTCGGTGGAGGAGGAGTTCGGTGGGGGTGAGGTGGTGGAAGAATGAGGCCTTCAGGTGTTTTCTTCGATCTTCGTGGGCTTCGGCCCTTATAGAATAATAGCGACCCTCAGGCCAAATAAAATTGCATTAATTGTTGGTTCTTCATATCCCTTTTTTCCTTCCTACCGCTCTGAGATCTTTGAGCTGCGTAACCTCATTAAACTCCTAAAAACCCCTAGGGAAAAATAGGAGAAGAGTGTTACAGCGTCTTCGAGGCACCGGCTCACCACCGCGAGATCATCTCTAAAAAACCCTTTGGGAAAAAGAAGAAGTCTCAAGCAGCAGCTCTTGCCTAACCACACCTCTGACGTGCAGCGGGGCGGTCTCTACTAGCCACCTCATATTTTGCGATCTCTTCCTCGGCATTCTCTAAATGCTCAAGCGGTTCCCATGAGTTCTCGGATGATGGATAACCTTCCCATTTGACAAGGTATTGAACTTTGTTGTAGTGCATTCGTTTGTCCAATATTCCTTCTACAAGATATTCGGTATTACCCTCAATCTCGACGCCATCCGGCCGAGGCGGCTCCGCCCCGGGTCGTTGCTTATAGGGTTCCAAATAGGAAATGTGGAAGACAGGATGGATAGATTTGAATCCTGAGGTTAGTTTCAACTCATATGCCTGCTTACCCACTACCCTTATTATCGGGAAAGGTCCCAACCATCGCTCACTGAGCTTCTTGCACGGTCTCGTCGTCTTGATGTTCTTTGCTGAAAGTAACACTTGATCCCCTATTGAGAACTTCATTGGAAGGTGTTTTCGATTATAGTATTCCGCCTGTCGCTCCTGGGCGCGGCGGATGCTTTTCGCCGCCTCCCCGTGGATTCTATCCAGAAGCTCCAATCTAGCTTTTACTTCTGGCACCGAGGGGTACTCTGTCCCACGATCCCGTTCGACATTCCGACTGTCTATCCCCCCCTTTAGGACGTCGTCCGCGACGTCACTAGGTAATGAAGGATTATACCCATAACAAGCATAAAAGGGGGACACTTTTAAGGTTGCATTCTTTGCATTGTTATATGCGAATTCGGCGGTCGGAAGGTGTCTAGGCCAGTCATTCTGATGATATGAACAGAACGCCCGAAGATGGTGTTCTAATGTCTGATTCTGACGTTCAGTCTGGCCATCTGTCTGAGGATGGAACGCGGTGCTGAGGAAGCGCCTTATCGTAAGGTGATAGCAAAAGGCCGACCAGTATTTACTGGTGAAAAGGGATCCTCGGTCTGACACTAACGATTTCGGAGAACCGTGATCACGAATGATGGCATCTAGAAACAGGTCAGCCAATTCAGGGGCTTTAACCTTCTTGTGGGTAGGGATATATTTGGCCATCTTCGTAAAGCGGTCGACAATAACTAGAATTGAGTCATATCCTTTGACTCTTGTCGACTTCGGCAGGTCAACTATGAAATCCATCGATAGATCCTGCCATGGGCCCTTTGGAACAGGCAGTGGCGCCAACTCGCCATATTGCTTGTGCCGCGGAACCTTTATCCTCTGGCAGACATCACAAGTTTCAACATACTCCTTGACATCTGTGCGGAAGCTTGTCCCAAACGTACTTACGTCTCAGGAGCTCTTCAGTCTTCTCTAATCCGAAGTGCCCAGCATGAGGGATCATTCGTGATGAATCCCTCAATAAACTCCCTGAGCGCACCGCCCTGCTACGAGGAACAAAGACTGAACCATTTAGCAGTAGGAGTCCACATTCCCCTAGTTGCCAGCGACTTGGGTTCCTCGGCGGCACCGCCCCGCTCAGGGCTTGCCCCTTCCCAAGTTCGACCCGGATCCTTCCTCCTTCAACTTCTGGATTCGAGCCGCAGTAAGGGCGTCCCCCTGCTGCAACTCACCAATGAATTCTAGAAGCCGTTGAGTTGGAAGGTTGTAGACCGTTTCGTCTTCCGCCAATTCAATGGCAGCAAAACGTGGCACGAGAAGTTCATGACCTTCAGTGCCAGTCCCCTGCGAGGACCCGAGTTCTCCTCCACCTGTATAGAGTCGCGCAGCTGCCTTACCGGCGCCGTTCCCAAGCTTTAGAGAACCCCAACCCCCTGCAGCCAGTTTCTTCTGCAGTGATGGTAGAGGTCCCTTTGTAGGATCCTCATCCCCATCAATGATATCATAATCGGGTCGCCTTGATGGCGCATCGGCGGGGTTAAGCCGACCTGGACGGTATCGGATAAAGAAATCATACTCCGAAAGCAGCTCCGCCCACCTGGCTTGACGTCCTGTCAAGCTCTTTGTTGTCAAGAAGTAACGCAAATTTGCATGGTCGGTGAGAACTTGCACCGGATACTTGCAACCTTGAAGGTAGTGTCGCCAAATCTTAAAGGATTCAACTATTGCCAACATCTCTTGATCATGAGTATCATACCTTCTTTGCGTGAGCGATAGCTTCTTGGAGAAGAAGGCCACTGGTCTCCATTCACGGCGCCTTGTAGGTTCTGTGAAAAAGCCTTCTCCTACAGGCATTCCATTGCCTGTATCTCCAGAGGTTATTAACCCCCGATCCTTCCAACGTTGGAAAGTCTCCGGTGTCAACTGCGAAAAGATTCCGCAGACACCATTCCCAGATGCATCAGTTTCACACTGACTGGGTAGGCCGGGGTCGAAGTGATTTAACATCGTGGCATCTGCAAAAGCTTGCTTCAATTCTTCAAACGCCCTCACAGCGTCTTGGGTAAGGATAAACGGTCCCGTTTTCCTGCCTTTAACACTTCCCTTTAACAAATCTGTAAGGGGGGCAGCAATCCGCGAATACGCATAGATGAACCGTCTATAGAAATTCGCGAACCCTAGGAATACCTGCACCTCGCGGTACGTGCGCGGCGCCGGCCAGTCCTCGATGGCGGAGACCCGGCTCCTGTCCATTGAAATGCCATCAACCCCAACAATATAACCTAAGAAATCAATCTCCTGTGTGTAGAACGAGCATTTCTCAGTGTTCGCATAGAGCTGGTGTTGCTTCAAGCGATCCAACACCTCCCGAACGTGGGTATCATGTTCTTTTTCCGTTTTCGAGAAGATTAGGATGTCGTCCAAGTATACTATGCAGGAGACATCGACAAGGCCCCGCAGCGCCTCATTTATGTAGGCCTGGAAGGTGGCCGGAGCGTTGCAAAGACCAAAAGGCAAAACGAGATATTCAAAATTGCCGTACTTGGTACGAAAAGCTGTCTTCCAAATGTCGTTTTCGTTAACCCTTATTCTATGATAGGCGTCCCGTATGCCAATCTTCGAGAACACCCTTGCTCCGGATAATCGATCGATCATCTCATCAATTAATGGTAGTGGATAGCGATCCTTAACCGTCACCTTATTGAGGCCCCTGTAGTCTACGCAGAGGCGCAGCCTACCGTCCTTCTTGGGCACGAATAGTATAGGTGCCCCCGCTGGACTCTTCGATGGGCGTATCCAGTTCTTTGACTGCGCTTCTTCAAGATATTTGCGCAGAACGTCCAATTCCTTTACTGACAAATTGTAAAGGGGTCCGTACGGCGCTGTCGCGCCCTCTTCAAGATGGATCTTATGTCGCACTTTGGTATCAGGAAACTTCGCTGCTTCCTTTTCTGAAAAAACGTCCTTGTAATCTGTGAAGAGACGTTGCGTTCGTCCGCCTTCAGTGGCAGACATCACTGCTAATCTGGCAGTGAGGGTGGCGGCTTCTCCGCCTGCCTCCAAGTCCAAGTCACCTGCTACACAGTATATCGACTCAATCTTATCCTCGAGATTCTTCCGATGGAACTCTTCGGGTTCCTCTATAGCTGCCTCTTCGTCGGTGAGGCGGTACCGCCACGCCTGAGTGACCCAGTCGATGAGAGGATTGTTTTCTCTCAACCACGGGAGACCTAGGATGACGTCCTCATCTATGATGTTGACAGCGTGGAGGAGCAGACTGCTCCCCTTGGAGGTTCCTTCAGAGTCCGTGGCCTCACACTTTGTTTGAATGATGCCGAATCGGTGGCATTTTGTTCCATCTGTAAACTTTGCGTGGCCCGGCGGACCTATCTTTTTCCAACCCTTCATGAGTGAAAAGGAATAGGATATGAAGTTAGCGTCCGCCTCGGAGTCGACTAGGCACCTCACTGGCACCTCCCCTCATGGGGTATTCATCTTCAAGGTTACATGGACTCGGAGTCGTGAGGATTGTCAATCCTCCTTGGGTCTTTCCTTTTTATCTTCAGTGGATACATTTGCCAGAAGGGGAGTCGTCTTCGAGGAGGTATCTCCTCGGTTCCTTCCCTTCTTCGACTTACGGCAATCACTGGCAAAATGGCCTGAGATTCCGCAGTTAAAACAAAGGTTGTTATCCAGTCTATTTTGGCGTTCCTTTGCAGTAAGTGAAGAACTGGAACGCTTTGAGTTCTTCTTTGCATCATCCGCACCGGAGCCGTCATGGCGCCGTTTTGATCCTGTTGTCGGTTGCTTTGAGGGAGTCTTGTCCCCCTTCTTCTCATGGTGTTGATTATTCAAATAGATTCGAGAAGCCAGGTTGACAAGCTCGGTGCGATTGGTGGGCGGACTTTGATATTGCGATATCGTCGTCCGCACCTTATGAGTCAGCTTCGCGAGGTAAAGCTGCGTTTTCAATAGATTCAAATCGTCAGACAGTTCCTCCCAATATTCTTCGAATCTTGCATTGAAATCGGAAGGATTCTCGTCGTCTCGTTGACGTAGTGAGTTGAACCGCTGCGCCGCTGTGAAGGCGCGGTTACGGTGGTCTTCAATCTGGTCCAGAAGGAAGTTCTTGAATTCTTCCCATGTCATGGCAGCATTGCTACGCTCAAGCTCCCTTTCCTTGGTCGCCCATGTAGTTGCAGTGGTGCCTTCGAGGAGGCTCGCGGCGTATATGACTCGTACCTCATGAGTATTAAACTGGCTCAGGTTAAGGCGGAATTTCCGTTCAAGGGCTCTCGTGAAGCTGTGGAATTCAGACAGCGTCTTGCCCTTGTAATTCGGCGGATCTCCAACCTTGATCCCTTTATCTCCATGGTAGACATAGGAGTGTAGGGGCCGCGGCGGTGGCAGGGCGGCTGGAGGGCCCATGCCAAGGTGAGCGGCGGGTTCAGGAATCTCAGATTCCTGCCGGGGTAGAGGTGTACGCGCTCTACGGGATGACGTGGAGGCTCCCCCAGAGGATGCAGTCCCAGCACGGGTGCGTGGGGCCATATCGATCAATAGAGCTCGACTGATTCAAACGTGTAACCAGGTCGAGCGATTCGAATTGTAATGTGACGGCGCCGAGGCGATTGCTACTCGGCAGCGGCACAGAGGAGGATGGTATATAATGGGAAGCCTTATGGGTGGGCTTGATTATCTCGCTTGAACCGCGAACTCGTAGAATACTATACAAATACTGAACTACCAGAGGTACTCGGCACACTATGAATATTGTATGAGGACAGTGGTAACTCTGGTATCTTATTGTCAAAAGATAAAAGACGAATCGCTGGCTCCTGGAATAGAGAGCCAGCATCTAGCTATTCTATATAGACAACGGGCAGCCATCCTCCCCTCACTCTATAAGCGAGGGTAGCCGAAGCAACTCCGCAGTGGCGCTGCATTGATCTGCCAGAAGGAATCTAGACCCCGTATAGAAACAGGATTCTCATATCTCATCAATCGGATCCTCTTCTATTGCATCCGAATGATGTCATAGGGTGGTTGGAAACCGGTTCGGACACCTGCGTGACGTTATGGGATAGATGGGATTATCTGAGGGGAAGCGATGGGCCGTGTGGAGCCGTCACGGGGCCTTGGCACAACCAAGGGTGTGACAGTTTCTGTTTATTTATAGATTTTTTTAAACTTGCTCATGATGTTTTTTATTATTTATATGAAATTGTGAATGTATATAGTTTCTCAAAGATTCTCAGAGAAGTTCAGAACTTTTAAATTGTATTCATATAGAAAAAAGAATAAATTTATATCTGTTATGGTAAAATCTCAGTCATTAATTGCAATCTCAATATATGACAGCAGATGACTTCAATTGCTTTATATGTAATTGCAGAATTTATAAAAAATATTCTTTATTATTTATATCATTCTCTTTATGACTTCATCAATCTCTGAATGATATACTGTTGACAATTTTCATTCAATTCTTAGCAGCTGTTATACACAGATTCAGAGTGTGCTGATAAATTGACTGTTTTTATTTGATATAATAAATGAAGACAAATTGTGTATATGATAGAATGAGTTTCTGATAAAGACATTCACAATTATTTCAGCATTCATCTTATCACAGAGCTGCAGTATTACACTCTTATTGAGTCAATTGACAATGATTAGAATGTTTGTAGAACCTTCATTTTTGAGTAGAGAAATTATAAAATCAATTGCTATATCACATTAAATTTGTTCAGAAACAGGCAAAGGTTTCAGCATTTCTTTTTATTGTTTACATCATACTGTTACTGAGCCACAGTGATTTGACATGTTCAGTCAGTAGAAGTCTTAGAGTACAATGCTGTATAACGTAATCCATAAGCGAGCGAAACACATAAGCAAGCGAAACACTTCCTACCATGCAATCAGAGTTAAGAGCATAAAAGAGCTCAAGAACAAAGAGAATACAATTAATTATATTATGAGATAATTTCTATATGCTTAGAGCATGTACGAGCAGTACGTCCAATAGTCCCACATACACTACACCGTGGTGCTGCACGTTTTCGTGGTTGAGAGCCAGCAGCCTCAACCACCCCTCCTTCCAATTCATTGACCCTTCGTACGCGATCCAAGCCTTCTTCAACCCTTAAAGCACCCTCTTGAGCTACATACGTACGGCCTCTTTCTCGCTTTCTCTTTTGTTTAGCATTTGTAGCCCTTAACTCCCTATTTTCAGCTGCTAGAATAGCAGCACTATGCATTGCCATTTGACATCCCTTGACCAGCTGATTTAGGGCACGATCAGTTGGGCTGGGTGGGCTCTGCGTACGGCGCTTAATATATCCTTTAACTTTCTTAGTCTGCTGCTCTAGCTGGTGTATATTATGTGGTGTAGCAGTGGCCCAGGAGGCCTGAGAGCTATGAGAGGTCCCAGGTGGGGTGGGGGTATGCATTGTTGTATTAAGTCGTGAGAGAACCTGCTCAGGATCGTACGGAACCAGCCCAGCTGCTCTAAAACCACTCTTAATGTTGCTCTCAGTCAGGGCCTGTATCTGAGCTGCAGGATATAGGGCCAGAAACTCCTCCTTATCAATATGGTTGATTCCAAGCCGCATTTGGTTCTCTACCTGTTGTCCGTACGCTGTTTTCAGTGAGGAGAAGCAGCCAACATCCAATGGCTGAAGAAGATGGGAGGAATGAGGTGGCATATAGAGAGCAATAATCTGATTCTCAGAGCAGAATTGATCAAATCCAGCTGAGGCATGACTTCGGTGCCAGTCTAGAATCAATAGTCGATATCTGCCCTTCGTACGGGGTAGGGTCTCCTTGTTGAACACCTCTTTCAGCCAGTACACACCCAGCTGGTCAGTGGTCCAGCCATTCTCACTGACTTCAATCACCCAGTCACTTGGCAGCCCTTCTGTCTCATACCAACAGGACTGGTGCATCTTTCCCTTGAGTATAATCATTGTACGTAGAGCCCAGCCAGTTGCATTAATTCCAGCAATAACAGTCACCCATTCCCGATCTCCAGGCTGTACAAGCTTAGGATTCCCAGCTCTTTCAGACCCAGTAATGACCCTGGCAGTCCCAATAACCCCCATCTGAAATCCAGTCTCATCAAAGTTGTAGATATCATCATCCAGGATCCCATACTTTGCAATGGTGTTTTGTACGAGTCTAAACCACCCACGGATAACCTCAGAATCCTCACATAGTGCACGCTGATAATCATACTTGCGGGAGAATTTAGATTTCAGCTCTTCATGGCGGTTGACAAAGTTTCGTACCCAGCATTCACCAACTGTGGGTGAGGGGTTGGATCCTCGACTGACAAGAAGGAGATTGGCCATTTCTCGTACGGCTGCAACCCGGGGTGGCTGACCTCGCTCATTCATGGCTAGAATCCATTGAACAAGAGATTCTTCCTCACTAAGACTGAGTTTTCGGTTTTTTGGGGGAGTATTGATGCGTGTTGTACGACCCTTCATTCGATGGAATAGGCTGGTATGAAGAACATCATACAGCTTTGCTGCAGCTCGTATGCTTAGAATTTGGCCTTTATTCAAGGCTTCAATAGCTAAAAGAAGCCTTCCTTCTTGATTAGAAGCCTGATTGCATTGTGTGGTTGACATTTTTAATGAAAAGCATTCTCATCGTATGGCAGGATGGGAAGTGTTTCGCTTGCTTATGTGTTTCGCTCGCTTAACGTAATCAATAACCTTCCCGATCAAATACCCTTCCCGATCACTTCTTCACTCTTTTTCATGTTTATAACTAAATAGAACAACAATCACATAAGAAAAATAGATTAATCATATTAAGAATCATTTACAAATCAGCTTTCACACGTACGAGCAGTATGTCCAATAGTACCACATATACTGCACCGTGGTGCTGCTCGTTTTCGTGGTTGAGAGTTAGAAACCTCAACCTTCTCATTTTCCTGTTCATTGACACTTCGTACGCGATCTATTCCTTCTTCAACTCTTAAAACCCCTTCCTGAGCTATATATGTACGACCTTTCCCTCGCTTTCTCTTTTGCTTCTCATTTGCAGCTCTTAGTTCCTTGTTTTCCTTTGCTAAAATAGCAGCACTACACATAGCCATTTGACACCCCTTGATCAGCTGATTCATAGCTCGATTGGTTGGACTGGATGAACCCTGTGTACGATGTTGCATGTATCCTTTAATCTTCTTGGCCTGGAGATCCACTTGTCGTACATTGTGTGGTGTGGCTGTGGCCCCAGGAGGCTTGAGAACTATGAGAAGTTCCTGAGGAGGTAGGTGTATGCATCTGGGTATTAAGGCGTGAGAGAACCTGCTCTGGATCGTACGGAACTAACCCTGTAGCTTTAAAACCACTTTTGATGTTGTTCTCATTCAGGGCTTCCATATGAGCTGCTGGATAGAGAGTCAAAAACTCTTCCTTATCAATGTGATTGATGCCAAGCTGCATTTGCTTCTCCACCTGTCGTCTGTATGCCTTCTTTAGAGGAGAGAAACAGCTAACATCCAAGGGCTGAAGAAGATGAGATGAATGAGATGGCATGTAGAGAGCAATGATGTCATTCTCAGAGCAGAATTGATCAAACTCTGCTGAAGCATGACTTCCATGTCCATCAAGGATCAAGAGTCGATATTTGCCCTTCGTACGAGATCGAGTATCCTTGTCAAATATCTCCTTAAGCCAGATCAACCCCAGCTTATCATTTGTCCATCCATTCTCACTGACTCCAATCACCCAGTCATGTGGCAGCTTCTCAGTCTCATACCAATGGGATTGGTGCATCTTTCCCTTTAGAATAATCATCGTACGTAAAGCCCAACCAGTTGCATTAACTCCTGCAATAACAGTGGCCCATTCCCGATCTCCAGGCTGTATAAGATTCGGACGATCAACTCTCTCAGATCCAGTAATTACTCTGGCTGTCCCAATAACTCCCATCTGAAATCCAGTCTCATCAAAGTTGTATGTATCTTCCTGTGCAATCCCATACTTTGCAATGGTGTTTCGTACGAGATTAAACCATCCACGAATAATCTCAGGATTCTCACATAGAGCTCGCTGGTGATCATACTTTCGAGAGAATGTTGATTTTAACTCCTCATGACGATTAACAAAGTTTCGTACCCAGCATTCACCCACTGTTGGAGGGGGTTTGGATTCAGACTTGATTTCTCGTTCAGAAAGAAGCAAATTGGCCATATTTCGTACGGTTGTGATGCGGGGTGACTGGCCTCGCTCAGTCATGGATAGAATCCACTGAATAAGAGATGCTTCCTCTGTAAGACTGAGTTTTCGGTTTTTTAACTGAGAATCTTTTCGTGTTGTGCGGCCGTGTAATCGATCATATAAACTTGAATAAGGAACTTCGTACGCGCGTGCAGCAGCTCGAATACCTGAGATTTGACCTTTATCTAGAGCCTTAATAGTCTAATAGAATCCTGCCTTCTTGATAGAAGTTTCTTCTGTCACTTGTTGTTGACATTTTGATGAATAAATTGTATGATGTGTCTTAAAGTGAAGAAGTGATCGGGAAGGGTATTTGATCGGGAAGGTTATTGATTACGTTATGGATTACGTTATAATCTCACAATTTGAATGCTCAATTATTGATGAATTGTGAATCTTCTGCATGATTTGTGTTTGTAAAGATTTTGAATCAGGGATCCACTGTCTATCTTAAAAATTTAAACATTCATTATCATTGATTAAACATGTCAAAATGTTTGTTCTTGAATATACATCTGCAGGGAATTGAAATACTCTGCTTTGTATAGCTTCAGCTTGTTGTCAAAGTTCATCTGTCTCTACAGCTTGTCTTCATTGTTTTTAAAGTGAGGGGTATTGAATACAGAATTGATTAATATGTATGTGAGATTTATCTGATTATGTGGGATTTTTTATGATTGTGGGATCGATTAACTAATGCTCTCAGTGTTTCCATCTATCATTCAAATTATCAGACATTATATTTTATTTTTAATGAAACAAAGCATTTGTGAGAGTGTTCTCTGCTTTTGATTGATAATAAATTGTGAATGAGAATTGGCTAAGATATAATGATCAGTGTATATACCTCTCAGTAAGTTTATGAGTGATTGTGAAGTATTCTAAATTCTTGTAATCAGTGATGATTTTAAATTTTTCAACATTTATAAACTTTGGCTTCTATTCTTCTAAGCATTCTATGATAGTCAAGTGTGCCTTATCATAGATTTTGTAGTTACATTCAGTGGGAGACATTTTCTTTAAAGTGAATATGCAAGGTTGTAGAATGCTCTCATTATCATATTGCATCAGCACTCCCTCAACCACATAATCAGAGGAGTATTGTAATGCACTCGTTTATTGTTTTCTTAGTATATTATGTTTGTTTATTTTTACCTCTTTCCATTATGTTCTCACTACCGCTATTTCTATATGTATATATGTATGAATGTATGTATTTCGCATATCTTCTTTTCCCTTTCTTTTCCTTCTTAGCGATTAGCTACAACTACTATTATTATTATTACAATTACTATTGTTGTTATCATCCACTACGCTATCTACTATCTTCCACTATTCACTCTTCACACTGTCATCACCCCTCACAACATAAGTGGGTAAAAATTTATTGTACATGCTTATAATGCTCAGTGAGCGAGCCATTTGTGAAGATTAAAATATCATTCATATATGCAGATGCAATCTCATTCAGCATATTTTATAGAGCTCAATTGATATATTTTTGAAATGTATTTGAGACATTTACCAGTTCAAAGAAGGTCACTGTTTATTTGAATAAATCATAACATGTGTGAAATGCTATTAACCACTCATCATCTTCATTGATTTTTATCTTGTAGAAGGCTGCTGATATATCAAACTTTGTAAATCATTTTACTTTTTCTATTCATTCAAGTGTTTCATTAATGAATAAAAGAGAATATCAGTCCTTCTATATGATCTGATTGAGTTTTCAATAGTCTATACAGAATTGTAAATCTTTCTCAGATTTTTTCACAAACAGTATAGATGCTGCAGCAGAGAAGTTGTTAATTTAAATGAAGTTTTTATCTAATAACTCATTGAATGTTTTTCATAAAACAAGAAGTTTATTGTGTGATATGCTGTAGAAAGAGTTTTAAAGTGGTTGTAAATTCCTATCATCTTTTTTAATAAGCTCAATTGTATGATTTATGCCAAATTCTTGATGAGAAGAAAGCTTTTCAACCACTTTTTCATCAAACACATCTGTGAAATTCTTATATAATTTGAGAAGTTCTTTATAAAGTTTCTTAAAATTCTTAAATTCTAACTTTTCTAATATTTTTTTGATATCTACCATGCTGACAGTGAACATTTGAACATTCTTCTTTTTATATGTTTAAAAAGTTAATAGTTTAAATGCTCTTATTGATATTTGAATGAGGTTAGTAGTTTTATTGATATTCTTTTCATAAATGCAGTTACCTTCTGAGAAGATTAAGCAACAGTTGTGTGTATCTATCAGAGTTTCAAATTTTATAAATCATAATAGACTGAGTATTAAATTGTATTCAAGGTCTTGTATTTTATATATATAAATATTCTTTTTCTCATGTCTTTCTACATCAATATTGAACTTTATTATATTGTAGAAGGCGGATTCTTTAAAGTCATTGAATCTGCTGAGTTTATGCAGTTTGAAAAAGAGAATACACTAAAGCTTATACTTTTTAAGCAACTAAATGTTTATAAAAATGTAGTGAAGGAAACTACTATCTACCATTGCTCATATATTAATTAGATTATTTACAATAACAGAGATCATGATTGTGTCTACTTGCATTTTCTACTCAAATCTTTAACTTGTTTCTTATTTTTTAAACTCTCATCTGTGTTTTAAAATGAGAGCTCTTCATTTCTGTATTCTTATTCATTATTATTATTATTCTTCTTCTATTATACTCGTATGCAAGTAGTGCTTATGATGAGTTCTTGTGTAATGTTAAATACAGGCAAGAGTTAGTTATACAGGAGGAATGTTTAGTGTTGAATAATATTAAAAATATAACAGAAACATAGAAACATTAATGAATGACAGAATTTAATACTCATAATACAGATTTCCAGCTTAGAAATAATCAGCTAAATCCGATAATAAATTCATTTGAAAATATCTACTTAACAAATTCACATCTCTTTATTTCAGAAGCTGAGAAGTTAACTTCAGATGTAATGTTGTTTTCTTATGAGTTTTAAATTCACACATTTTGAGTCCTTATATCAAGATGTTATTTGGTGATTACATTACTCATTCAGCCACCGGGGCTGTTCTTGTTCATTCATAGATGTAGTTGCATTCACATATGATGTAGAAGCTGAGACCACTGTGTTGATGCATTGATTTGTAAAGTGCTTCAATCTGTTGCAATGAATGTATACTTCTTAGATAATTTGATCAGTAACTTTTTATTTAAAAAAATCAGATATTCTTGACTGTTCTGCATTCACATGAAGGGTTCAATTCATGACATCTGTAGAGGTGGTTGATATAATTGACACAATAATAGATGTAAAGTTCTGTCTATGATTGTTACAGCTTTTTTGTACATCATTGAAATATGTGAAATTGTTATTGAGTTGATACAAATGAGTGCAGCAGTTGTGGTAATATGAAGATAACAGATGTAAAATGCAGAGTTTAAACAGTTCAAAGTTGATGTGCTGATTCAAAAGATTAATTTTCACAGCATTGTCTCAGTTCTATTCTTCTGCTTCACAAATCTTGCTATTGAAATCAAATAAATAGTTTGTTAAGAGAGTATTTCTCTGATAGTTTCCGTTTAGCCACTGCATTGTGTGTGCTTGCAGTGTAAAATTTAAGAATAGGATATTTAATTGATGAAAGACTTCTTCAGAGGTACACATTTTGTGTGCATACAATTCAATTCACAGTTGAAACTTCATTAAAGTATCTTCTTCTAGCTGATTATAAACATAATAAATTTGTAAGAGCAGAGAATCTATCACAGATTCATCTTCTTTAAACTTGCTTTTTATTTTTCATTTTAAAAATAAATAGGTTGGAAGCTCTTCTGCAAACTTGTTGAGAAGAGAAAGGCATTCTTTTTTTTCATATGCAGAAAGTGTTGACATTTGCATGATTTCTGATGTATTCATATTCAGACGATTTAATTATTGTTAAAGCTTTATCATTTGTAAGAATTACTGCTGAAAAAAGTTATGGAGCTCAGTATTATCTTCTATAAAGCTTCAATTCTTGCTCATAAAGAGATGTTTATAATTCATTTCATTTTTATAGAAGGCTATAATTCTTAATTCTCATTAAAAATCAGAAGATTTGATTCTTTAAAAGAGATATTTTATAAACATTTTGACCTTTTTATAAATATATAATTGTGAAGTTCTTAAATGCTTAGACTTCTTTGCAGCACTATCACAGTGATGCAGTTTTGTAGAACTTTAAAAATTGCAGATGTTATCACAACAACACAGCTTTGTGAAAACTTGATAATTTATTTTTCAATTTGAGCATCCAAGGGTAATTGTAAACATAGAGCACTCAGACTGACACTGATGAGTCAATTTGTAATATAATGAGTGTATTTCAATTAACAATCTAACACTATTCTAAATACAGATTATGAATTGATTAAGAAAAGAAAGAGAAAAGAGATTAGAAGAAAAGATTGTATGAAAAGGGTTTTTATAAAGAGAAGATTGAGACAGAAAAATATCAGAAGCTATTTCACAGTGAAGTATAAAATGAAGCATGGAGTGAAAGAATATTAAGAATTACATGAAAAAATTGTTAAAACTACATGAGCGTAGAGTGTGAGGCAAAAGAGCTTATGCAGAAGAATTGTTAAAAGCTATATAAGTATGAAATGCAATAACAGAGATGAGTAGATGCAGAAAAGGAGTTGGTTGCATAAATTAATTACTAACAAATGCTAACCCGTTATAATATGATATTGTTTTATATTTATTGATTGTAATGAGATTCAAAATTCATCTAAAAAATTGATATATAAATGTTAATTTGTTTAACAATTACATAATAATCATTTCTGAATCCAGGTTCATCAATGATAAGATTGCATTTGAACGAATTAAACATTTCAATATGATGAGTAAAAAATGTCAAATGAGTAATCATTGATTATTATTGTTTGACAATTATGAATCTTATCTCATTGAAAAATTCCTTCAATATTGCAATTTTTACAAGATTATTGTTTTTGAATTCCTTTTTTAAACAAGTCATATCTTGCAATCTCTTAATAATGTATCTTTTCAACAATATAAACATTATTATATAAAAGTAATTAATGAGATTGTCTGCTATAAATATGAGCAATATGATGAAAAACAGTTTCTTGAAAATTTAAATAATGTTTTTCAATTGATATTTAAATTCTTTACAATTAAAACTAGCTTTACAGACTGTGGAATTTATTCAGTCAATTAGAATGTAATATTTGATTGATTTAAATTTTGAATATTACAGAATGATGTGAATTTTATTATATATGATGATGATGATGATGATGAATATTTTTGATTAATTTCATTTTTTATAAATCAATCATCAACTACCTCTTCTGATGTTACATTTCAAATATTGTTGCAAAATTACATTGTCA